GTATATATCAGTATACTCTCTCTTATTTTATATATATCTTTTAATTATATATACTCTTTTTTTATAGTATATATTATATATATATAATATAATATATATATTACTATATATTATATATATATAATATATATATACTATATATATATATATATATTTTTATTATAATATATATATACTATACGTATATATATAAATTATATACTACCATATATATATATATATAAGTATAATGTATAAGTATACTCTCTCTTATATATGTATAATATATGTATAAGTATATATAAGTATACTCTCTCTTATATATGTATAATATATGTGTGTATATATAAGTTTATATGTGTGTGTGTTTTTATGTATAATACAATTTGTTTATGTAATTACTATAAGTATTTACAATTTGTTTATGTATAATATATGTATATGTGTGTCAGTGTGTGTGTGTATATATATACATATACATATATTGAATGACATGAATACTTTGGGCTACTTAGTATATAAGTATATATAAATATAAGTATATTCTCTCTTATATATGTTTATATCTCTTATATAATTATATATATGTATAAGTATGCTCTCTCTTATATATGTGTACAGTGTATACTCTCTCTTATATATATATTTATATTCTCTCTCTCTTAGTATATAAGTATACTTATATATACACATATATAAACATAAACTTATATGTACATATATAAGTATATTTATATAATAGTATAAATACATATAAGAGTATAAATATATATTTATATATCTATACATATATATAAACATAAACTTATATGTACATATAATATAATTATATTTATATAAGAGTATAAATATATATATACTATTATATAAATATAATTTTTATGTTTTATTGTTTTTTAAAATTTTTAAAAAAATAAAAAAATAAAAAAACAAAAAAATCCGGCCCGGTCGGGCCCGGGCCCGGTCGGGCCCGGATCTTGCACAAGTAGCTACAAATTGCAAAGAATCTACTAACTCGACCTCAGTTGTAAAAAGAGAGGTTTCAATCCGATTCTTCTTCTATCCTATGCATTATACATGTGAGCAAGGATAATCCATCCAAATACGATGAGTTTCTTGGGTCGTTATCTAAGGATCTTGCACAAGTAGCTACAAATTGCAAAGAATCTACTAACTCGACCTCAGTTGTAAAAAGAGAGGTTTCAATCCGATTCTTCTTCTATCCTATGCATTATACATGTGAGCAAGGATAATCCATCCAAATACGATGAGTTTCTTGGGTCGTTATCTAAGGTCACAAAGGAGCAACAATTTTCAGAAAATGGAAGTAAAAAAAATTTAAGGATGTATTATTTTAGAAAGAATGATTGAGGTACTGTAACAATTTTTAGAAAGTTATTAACTTCCCGTGGACGTAGGTCTTCCTTCGAAGTCCGAACCACATATATTTTTGTATTTGTGATGCTTTCCTATGTGATGTTTATCTTTGTACAATATATGTGTACATTATCATTTTAAATAAAGATTAAAATAGAAAAAAAAATTAAATATAATTTAATAGATATTAATACAAAGATAATATAGTTTAGAAATTAAAAATTAAAAAAATTAGAAAAAAGTTAACAAAACCCCACGAGACTCCTGAGTTGTGGGTAGGGCCGAGTCTAGTCTCAAACCCGAGATTAGAGAAATAGGCCCGTCCCACTCTGACCCGGGTGGGCTT